TTTTACACTGCTTTTATTACTAATTTACGCCCAAAGTTGTGTTAAAATTGGCAACAAAAACGAATCTTTGATAGCTCGTAACTTTTTAATGACTTTTTATTTTACTATTCTGTTTCCGTACAGACAAAATTAATAATGAGACAAAACGATATCATGTTTAACTGTCACTTGTATGTACTGTTGATGTACACTGTCAAACAGCGGAGTAAAACCCCTCCGAAATTTCTATGGAAATAATGTCGACTAGTGTCACCTTAAGCAGGAGAATGAATTAAAAACTATGTATATTACGGGGGATTCTGGATAATTTGTAATATGGAAGGGAGTCCTGATTGGTTTCCCTCCGTCTGGCAATATACGAATATTTATATATCGATATATGGTAAATTTTCAAAGAAATGAGTTAAACACTATCTTTGAAATTGTTTAATGGACCAATATTCGCAGTCATAATGTATTAAAATTGCTTACAAGTGGTGGACGCTACAATAATGCGAAATGAAAGGACGTAGAATCAATATTGTGATATATATATATATATATATATATATATATATATATATATATTAGAGATGGGCCGAATGTGATTTGAACCGAATCCGAACTTCGGCCGAACTTCGGTTCATTTTCGCACGCTTTCTCGAGAGCGACGCGTCGTGACTTGTTTACGCATTTACTTCAAATACCCCGCCGACACCGCAGGAAACATATACCTACGAAAAAAAACGTAACAAACTTCTGCCAGATAAGGCAGATCTTTGGTGTTTTTGCACCATAACCTGACTCTGTTAAATTTTAAATATGACTAGATAGACAAGAAAAGTTGGTTTAATATGATTGTTGAAAACAAATACCCTTTAATTGTAATAAAAAATACTTGAGGTTAATGAATGTTGAATCAAAAACATTATTTTTTTATTTAATTTACGGACTCCTATCCAGATGTTTACTAGGAGAATACAAAGTTTATTTCATTTTTGTAATATGGCTAATTATTAATTAGGCAGGGATTTCTAAGATTAATAACTAATTAACTAAGATTAAGGTTAAGAACTAAGATTAAGATTAATGATAAGATAGGAACTGATTTAATATAAGGTTTACATTTACAATGTTCCGAAATAAATAAATAAATAATTGACCATGAATGAGTAAAAATAATATCTTTTATTTTACAGTATCTAATGTTGTTATATAAGGTGCTTCTAAAATATATGCCACGGTTGTTTGTATGGAGACTTGGCCAATCAGCTGACCAATTTCCATACAAAGTGCAATTTTTTTTTGAGAATTGACTATGGGTTCCTTGGGGAAAGTGGTACAGTATCATGAGTAGAACCACCAGTTGCAGCCATGGCATATTGTAGTTTAGAAGCACCTTATATTTCAGTTAAAATAAGTGCAAGTAGGTATTATTTTTCTTGTACCGAATTTCGGCACAAGAAAAATAATATATATATATATATATATATATATATATATATATATATATATATATATATATATATATATATATATATATATATATATATATATATATATATATATATATATTGAGAATCTAAATTGAGAATTTAAACTATACGCGTGTGTGTGTTTGTGTGTATATAAAGAGGGCTACTTTTAATATCGCTCATTTTAATATCAAAAATTTAGGTTATCTTTATTTTTTTAAATTTAGGTATTAATGTATGTATATAGAGTACTCACTCATTTTCTTTCACTATTGTTTCGTGACTTTCTTCATTAATAATAAATGCACTTTGTTCATTCATATTCTAAACACTTTATACACAAACACCGTGTCGAAGACTGCCGAAAAAAGAAACGACGTTAGACAATGCACGGCCTTCAAGCCACACCTCCGTGCCCGTCGGAGTGGGGAGCGTGAGGTTTTTTCGTTACGGCGGAATAAATTTCTGGATTCGGTCCCCACGCTCAAGGCCCGCGATAGAAGCTATGCAATAGCTAAAAATCCTGAAAATAAAATTCTTGAAATCACTTATAAGCGTTACCGAAATTATTGTAACTCATTGTTGAGAAATCTTAAATGAAACTACGAAAAGTCACTATTACGTAATGCGAAAACTAATAAAGATAACTGGAATGCAATTAAAACTATAATAAATTACATAAAACAAAAGACGAGTGCTGATAACCTTTTGAGCTGTTAGTGATGTAGAAAACATAAATAAATACTTCTCTAATATTGGTAAAAAACTAGCTGACGTTGCAAATAATTCAAATCAAAATAGCTCTCCATATAATTTCACAATTCCATCAGTTTCTCTTTTGTGCTACTTCAACCAGATGAGGGAGAGGTAGAATCGATTATCAGAAGCTTAAAAAATAACTCTGCTACTGGATGGGACTCTATACCTGTGCAACTTCTTAAATTATCAGAACATCTAATAGTTCCACCTTTGACTAAACTTATTGAGCTCTGTTATGCGCAAGGAATCTTTCCAAAAGTTTTTAAAAAATCCCTGAGCACTCCTGTTCATAAGGATGGACCACGAGACGAAATGTCCAATTACAGGCCTATTTCAGTACTCTCGTCTATCTCTAAAATCTTGGCAAAATCATTAAATTATAGACTTATTACATTTTTAGAATATAATAAAGTTATATCTCCTTCACAATTTGGATTTAGGTCGGGGAAGTCCACTGAAGACGCGGTAATTCAATTGACAGAATTTGTAACATTAAAGATTGATGCAAAGCAAAAATGTTTGGGGATTTCTCTCGACCTAGCCAAGGCGTTTGACATGGTCTCGATTCCTATCCTTGTAAGCAAGTTAGAACGCGTTGGTATTCGTGGAAATGCACTCATGATTTTTAAGGAATTCCTATGTGACCGTAAACAACAGGTTAAAGTTGGTGAAATTGTCAGCCCCGAAGAACCGATTGTATGTGGCGTTCCACAGGAAGTATACTAGGACCTAGTCTCTTCCTTATCTACATAAATGATTTATGTCAGCAACCTATAGTAAACGGCAAAATATTTACCTATGCTGATGATACAGCTTTAGTCTTCCATGGTAAGACTTGGGATGAGGCTCGACATAACGCTCCGCTGGGACTTCACAGAGTTGGACATTGGCTCGGCGCTAATCTCCTAACCTAAAATATTTCGAAAACATACAGTTTTCCTTGGGAAACACTGGATCCGTAAACCTTGACCTTAAGGTCCACTCGTGTACTAACCCTTTCAATACTACCCCTCCATGTTCATGTCTTGTAATTACTAAATCCAGTAGTGTTAAATATCTTGGTGTAATACTGGACGACAAAATTAACTGGCGCTCACACATAGAGCTTACAACTGAACGTACTAGAAAACTTATTTGGGTGTTTAAAAAGTTAAGATACACTGCTGATTTACCTCCCTTGCGTTCAATTTACTATGCTTTAGTTTAGTCCGTAATAGGGTACTGTATAAACGTCTGGGAAAGAGCCTGTAAGACCTTTCTAATCCGCCTGAAAAGGGCACAAAGATCCCTCTTAAAAGTCATGACCTTTAGGCCATACAGATTTCCCACTAAAGAATTGTATGAGATATGTCGAGTATTAACTGTGAGGCAACTGTATATTTTGAAATTAATTACTAAACAGCATATGGTTACCATTTATAATGCCACTGATTATAACAAAAACCGGGTTATAAAAAATGTGTGTTTACCAATAACATGTCGAACAGCCTCTGCTAGACGGCAACATGCATATAAAGCTATATATTTAACCCTTAACTAGTAGAAAAGTGAAAATTAAAATTAAGAATTGGCTATTAGGATTAGATTATAAACAAACTGAACCGATATTAGTATAATTTTTTTTACAAACATGCAAAAAAAAATTGTTTAAATCGTAAATTTCAACCACACACGAACACATGCAAACGCACGCACACTCACGCGCACTCACACACACTTGCCCAGACATGCACCCAGCCGCAAGCAAACACACACACACATACACACACAGACACACACACACACGCACGCACACATGCATAGATGCACACACAGATTTTAAAATTGCTTTATTTACATAAAATAAGTAGCTGTCATTATATTAGGGAGATCGCTGACTCTCGTAACACAGGTTTTCTAACCTAGCTCGGGAGTCGGAGGCTTAAAAAATGTTGTAACAAATTTTATGTCAATAAAGATTATTATTATTAAAAAAAACTTTATTATGGTTGTAGGACGAAATAGTTGACTCGACGGAGGAAGGACCATGCAATATGCGACAAATGTGGGACACTATAGGGTTTTAGTCGGTGCGAGTCCGACATAACCCGTCCTTACCCCCGCGAGGCGGGTATGCGTAGGCATTTCCTCATATAAAAAGTGCTTTGGGTGGTCCGTTGCAGTATGTGGTTGCAAAACGATGGATACACAGCAAATCACGCAACGGGGTACCTGAACGAGCTGTATCCTGAACGAGCTGTATCCTAACAGATGGATCGGCTGTTTGGCACCTATATATTGTATGGCCACCACGTTTGGCCGACCTAAACCCATTAGATTTTTTTATTGGGGCTGCGTGAAAGAAAAAGTCTACAAAAACCAATCTCAACAATGCAAGAACTGCGTCAACGAGTCTTGGACCCAGCTCAAGAACGCAGTTATTCGCGGCTAATTAAGAAGGTCGTTCATGGGTATTTCGCGTATTTCGTGCAAATTCCACGACATTTGTAAATGTCAAATTTATTGCCGAATAACTTCGTTTTTTCCTCCAATATCTTTAATATCCATAAAATCCTTTAACTTTTTGTGGTTTCTACCTTCCTTGTATAGATAACAATAAAATTACTATCGTATCAAAAATCGTAATGAAACAGTAATGAGAACGTCAAGGAGGGGAATAATATTGAGTCGTTAAGTTAAAGGATAGGGATGATGAGGGATTTTCATCGTAGACGTTGCAACCTAAGCTTTCTAAAACACCCGAACTGTTAGATTGTTTTAGTATTTTATTTGTATTAAGACATTTTATCAACAAATCGACATTAATATGAACTTTGCAAGCACACGTATTTCTTGGACTTTTTCACTGGACTCCTTTGGGTATAAAACCCATAATGGGCGATATTTATATAATCTTTGATAGGTTACTTCGACATTCGAATTATGCGTAAATTTTTTGTACAAATTAGTCAATGTGTCCGTTAAGTATCTTTTCTGCTTCCTTATCTGGTTTTTAGTTATATTTTTTTTATCAGCTGCAATTCTAGTCATCTCCTCATCGTCAAAAAACTCCAAAATTAGTTGCTCTTTCAAGTTTTCAGTTTTAGCTGTCTTATTTTCTTTTTTATCTCTTACTGTAAATATTTTTGTTTGTGTCAAGAGTTTATATTTTTTAAACTTTTCTTTTTCCGTCATAACCACATTAGAGAATTCTTTCTTATCCTTTTTCCTCAAGCACTTGTACCCTTCTCCAACACTTCTTGAAAGTATTTCACCAAACATTAGTCGCTCTTTAATTTCTTCACGCTTTTGTGTATTAACATTTTCTACTAGTTGTTCTACTTTTTCTTCAGTCGATATATTTTCATTTTTCTTCTTATTTTTCATTATTCTATACAACATTTTTCTAATGCCATCTTTCTGTTTCTTCGTTTTTTCTATTTCATGTTTCAAAATGAATATTTCTTTTTTATGTAGGTAGCGAACCTTTCTCTGAAGAATATTTTCTTTAGGCACCCTTGACAAGAATTACTATTACCGTATTCCAAACGATTTAGATATGAATTAGGTATGAGGCTTAGAGCTGATTGAGTGAGAGGATCTTGTTCAGCTGGATGCACTTCATTGTCACTATTTGGTGGAGAATTATCTATTAACAACTGTTGAATAGCTTTTTCTTTCTTTTTTCTTTCATAATGACGTTTTGAATTAACTCTTAACTTCTTCCTCTGATCTCTCAATTTTCTAGGTGTCATATCTTTTGCGCTACTTTTTTTTGTTATTTTCTTTTAAGGTATCTTGCTCTTTCTTTTGCCTTCAGATCTGCATACTTTTCAGGATCTTCTTAATTTCTGCATACTTTCTTTGTTTTTGTAATCGATCGCACTTTTGTTTCTGCTCTAATGTTTGTCTGGATTTCTTTGGCATTATCAGTTCTTAATAATCTGTAACAACACATTATATGATATTGCTCATATTCATCATATCAAGCTCATCCTTAATAACTAAAGTAATAAAAAGTACACTCACAAGGTTAGCTTGTGAGTTTACTATTTGTAAACAAACTCAAAGCTATATCAAGAAACAAAGTAAAAACTATTATTATAACTGTATCGTAGTAGTATTATTGTGGAAAAAAAATCTCAACTACGGGTTAGACTAGAACTCGCGACCACACGGTTTGTAATGTAATAATGCACTGTAATAAATAATAATAAATTGACGTAAAATTGATTCTAATTGTCATCGTTTTGACCTCATCACCATCGCTAAAAAAACGACGGTAAACGAAGGTAGTGAGGACGTAGGTAATGAGGTTTTTATTCTTATCTAATTGTTTCGTAAAAAATATCAAAATTACGAATCTCGTGCTTACTTTAAATTACGGCGGTAAACACTAGAATTGATCATTAACTACATATTAAATAAAATCATTAATACTCACTTAATAATATGGACGAGAGGACAGAGGACGATTCCAGAATAATCACCTCCCGCGAAACTTTACACGTAAATATTTTTTTTTCCAAGAACAGGCGTGAACCTTCTACGACGTTTGTTGGCTGGCTGAGACTTGTGCGGGGCGCGGCATGGTGTTATAGTGACATTCACGCCAATACGCGGACTATAATTTAGATTTTTACTAAAACCGATGGTAATCAGAATTTTTTTTGATAAACATTTATGAAATAAAATTTCTTTATATTGTGGCGTTATCGTTATTTATTTTAATTGTCGTTGTGTTTTTTTTAATAAAGTTTCATAATATGGTTATTTTTTATATTTAATGTTTATATTTTTGGTTAAAAATACAAATTTTTTTAGGAGAGTAGTAAATGGACACCGAAGATAATGAGAATTATTGAAGTTTTTTATTTATTATTAACTTATTACGTTATTTTTATCCGTAAATATTACATGCATGTAAGCATAACCACTTTACATTTGATTTCCTTTATAAGAAATGTAGATATTTATTAAAAAAATGAAGACTTTTCTCCTGAACGTGTAATGTGCACGAAAAATGAGAAACACCCTCATAAGACATATTAAAATTAAGCTTCTATTAGAATAGGGGTCAAACAACTCGAACATTTATCATAATTAAAATAAACGATAAGGAATCTAACTTTTAATTGTTATTACACCCAAAACACTCACTAGAAGTACTCCCACTAATTTCCGAAACAAATGTCTTATTTTTAACCTTTATTTTAATAAAAATAAAACTAGAGAAATATAGGTAGCAATAACTTCGTTTGTATATTACCGTTTCAGAATCTGCATGAAGTAGGCATGTTTTTAAACTATTGGCCTCTTAGGCACGATATTATATTCTTTATACCACAGGTGCCTAAACGTCATTGAAAAATCGAAAATTCAAAGTTTTATTTTTAATTAAAAAAACTGCTATTATATTCTGTAATGCGCGAAATCAAGGACAATTCACGGTATTTTATTTTTATTTCAAAGACATTGACGGTTATTTCAGGGAAAATCGTTTGGTTTGTAGCAGAAGTACTCAATAATATGAACGCTTTTTAAAAAAAGTCCAGGCTGCTGCAGATATAAAAAGTATTTAGTAAATTTGTAAAAAATTGCATTTGACAATCAAAGTTTTATTTTCATATATCGCTTATGTATATTATTTCATTTCGTTTAATTTTATTTCATTTCTTTACTTTATAGTTTTCAATTAACACAATATTTCTGTATATCGACAACAGTGCCACCTACCGGGTCCAACTATAGCTAGGATGCATGTCCTATAAAAATTCAAAAAAAACGGTCAAACCGTTTAGGAGGAGAAGACTTATGAACACACGTACTACGGAATTTTATATAAAAACAAACCACAATCGACACCAGCCGTTATTATTTTTCACGGAGCATTAGCGAACACAGTAGAAGTTGCTTTCCTTAGTTACTATTTACTACCCTATCAATTCTTGGATTTTCGTGGCTTTTCCGTAGTCGAGTTAGGCTACCCCTAGGAAAAAAAGATTGTTTGTTAATTCACTCATGCTAATATTTTACAACCATTATCTTATTCATAGAAAAAAAAAACAACAATATATACTATTAACTTCCCAGTGGAAAGTTATTGTAATGGGTCCGATTTTGCTAATTGGAAATTTTAACATATTTCCACGTTTCAAGGTCTTTAGAGTCGAATAGTATTGTTGGTTTGTGTGATGAAGATAAGTCATTAAATTTTGAGCAAAATCGGTCAAGTCATTTTTTGTGCCGAATGAAAATTTTTATAAAATATTAAAACATATGATATTTTTTTATTCTTTTCACTGGTAAGTTAGTCGTGTGGACCTTTCGGGTCACACCTAGACCGCCTTTTTAATTTTTATAGTAGCGAAGAACTTATAGCTAGTCTGTCGGTAAGACCTAACAACTTTCTGACTAGAACACGGCAGAGCATGCACTGCTGCTTGGCCTAAGAAGTAGGTAAGGGGGTGGTTCCTACCCAGAAGGACTTCTAGGCTTAAAAGCAGTCCTACCATCTACCTACCTTACTAACTGTCCTAACCTTGCTTAAAATGCATAAAATATCTACAGGAAAGGGCTAACGACCCGCAAAACATATTTGTTCGATGGTGGAAAGATTAGGGAGGAATAAATCACATAGTAACCGAGAGGTTAGCTACTCTACGTCTGTGTTCGAATCTGAGAAGATTAATTTTAGCCAAATCAAGGCCTCCAAAAATGCCTCTTGATTCAATTTAACGTTGCTTGGTGGTATTTTGCAGCATTAGACCAAATGCAATAACAGGTCTCTGTGCACCTAGACACTTGCGGACTTGCGATTTATATAGGTGAAAAAGCTACCCTGTTAGTAGAAATAGATGAACTGTGTGCTCGATTGACAATAAAAAAATCTAAATGATTTTTAACATTAAAGGTTGCTAATCCCTCTGGGTTTTCTAGGTGTTTCTGTCCAGAACAGAGGTGTTTTGCGAACGGGTATTTTAATAAAACTAAATCAAGTTAAAAATAGTTAATGTTTTTTTTTCAACTCTAATATTATTATCCTTCTTCCCTCAGCGCTAATTAGAACAGAAATCCTAAAAATAAACAATCATTATAAACGAGTGTGGGCGTTAATACCGATGCTTCGAGTATCGTTGTTAACTTGTGTTGTAAGGTCGATTTAAAATGCATAATTATTGAAAATAGTTCGCAAACTTTTAAATTCAACACTATTTTATAAGGACGTAATTCGTTTAGTCAAACCGTTCTGAAAGTAAAAATAATTATTGTTTGATATAACGTCAAACAGTAATTATTTTTAATTTATTTATTAAACCGTCTTTTGTTAAGCGATATTTTTAGTCCACTACCATTTCAAAACGAGATTTCTCTGAATGACGAAGAAACGGCGATTTTTTCTTATAATTGGTGCATCCTGCAACAATTAATATATTTGTAAAGGAAGAGTTTGTATCACTTTTTAAGCACATTGCTGGGCTGAGAATTGAGAGCTTTGGCAAAATTAAAGTTTATATTGAGAAGTGTTTAGCTTAGCTTAGCTTAAATTTACATATGTTAATTAGATTAAATAAAATATTTACTATTTACGTTCCCATGTCGATTGTCAAACACATAATAGTCTGAGGTCAAACAGTCGCACAGAGTATAGATTGTCGCAAAAATTTAAAATGTTGGCAAAAATTATCGATATTTTTGCTTCTTTGGGGGACCTTCGGGCTGTAGGTATTTATGGGCCAAAAAATCCACTTACAATCAGGTTACATTATAAAAGATAAATGGAGGCGGTTTCTTTGTTTTTTTTCTCATACTGAAGTTAAGGAAATTAAAAAGTTACTTAAACATTTCTAAGATTAACTAGATCATTTGTTACCCCAGTTTATTATTTGGCTTTAGTTAGCCCTTATTTATTTACAAGAGGCAACAAGTAATTGCAAAGTCAACCCAATTTCGTTTGGTACGCCAACGACACTCTTTTACGAGCGATATGAACTGAAACAAATTTTAATTGTTTCTTTGAACAACAGCTATTAATCTCTAAGTTGAACTGGAACAGGCGAAGCTATTTATATTAATTAAAAATGTTTATAGACTTTTAAGTAAATAAATGTTTTAATTCGGGTCAAAAAGTATATTATAACGGCTCAGTAGCACCGTGGCTCAGTGTTTGGTTGCAGAACTGCGGGACTGTGGGTTCGTATTTCGTACGGATAAGTCTTTGTATGGCCTACATATAATTGTTTCAGGTTTATCCGTTTGTCTTATTTTACATCGGAAAATGCCTACACGAATCTACGAGCACGGGTTATGTCGCACTCGCACCAACGATAATCCTAGCTACCTTCACCGAATGTCGGCAGGAACTAGCCCAATGCCGACTACCCCATGGCAGCCCCTTTAGAAAAAAATAACTCTTCGCCCTTCTCCTCAGGTAAGGCACACCAGACCACTGGGCGCAGCTTCCTCCGTGGCCGTTAACTTAATCTAGACCAAGAAAAACAAGCACTCGGAAGAACCAGCTTTGCTTACCCCAACAGTGGATCTGGGCTAAGGCTTCATCACCAACCAAACTAAGGCCGCGGAGGTAGGAAGAGCGACATATTGCAGTCTCCTCTTCTCCCATGGCTGCATCACCACCGCATCAACATTGCGGCCCCGCCAGAGTCGCGGAGGATAGGGCGAGTAGCGCATAGGCACACTATGCAGTGGTAGTTGGAGATAACATTGATCTCCCAGCAATCTTCTAAACACAGTG